TATATATATAAAACCAAAATACAGGAACTTTCACCTCGCTGTCTACTCAATTCCCTCAGGTGGGCAAATGCCTGTTGGCTGTGGCCCACCTGAACCAAGGTTCAAAAGTCTACTACGGACCGGCAAATGGCTCATTGGCTGAAGGCACCTGCCACCAAGCCTAACAATCTAGGTTCAATCCCCAGGACCCAAATGATAGGAGGAAATCGACTCTTCCAAGTTCTCTGATTTCCACACATGTTCCCTTACTTGTATGTCCACACATACACACAGGAACTAAATAAAGGTAATTTTTAAAATTATAAATTAATTAATGTCTGTGTTGATCTATCACTGAGTCAAGCCCAGCTTCGGCACCATGTTCTTCCTATTCACCCACCAAGGACATCTCAGCTAACCTGGTCCACATTCCTTTACATGTCTCAGGAATCAGACTTGTTGCATGCAAATCCCAGCTCTGGTTCCTACTAGATTATATGAGCCAGGTAAGCCACTAAGCCACTAGGAACCTCAGTCTGACAATCTGTAAAATGGAGATAATAAGAGTTTCTACCTCAAAGTGAGGGTTAAACAAGATAATACAAATAAAGTATTTAGAACAGTGTCTGGTCAACAGGAAGCACCCAATAAGTATTATATATTATTATTATTACCACCAATAGGCCTTTTTGCATATACTTCTCTGACTTCAAAGTTTTCTTCAACAAGACATTTAAATAAGTAACCAGTAGTGTCTGAAGAAGGCTTACATCCCAGCCCACCTAACCATCTCTCCCTTTTCACTATAACTGCAATGGGAAGACTGACTCTTTTCTAGAACCTTCATGGATAGACCAGTAGTCAAGAGCTTTCCCTCATGAACACCTATCTACATCTCTGCCCTTCCTCCCCTCTATATTTTCCTGGCCTCATCACAGTTCCTTTTTTTTGCAGGTAATCTCTGACCACACGCATATACAAATGCCCTGCTAACACACATGGTAAAAAATAGAAGGAAATTATTTTTTTGAGACATGGTCTCCTGTAGTCCCAGCTGGCCTGGAACTCACTATGTAGACCAGGCTGGCCTTGAACTCATAGAGATCTGCCTGCCTCTGCCTCTTCTGCCTCCTGAGTGCTGGGATCA